AGTTGCATTAACGCTGTTGACACCATTTGCAAGTGACCTTCAAAGGGCAAAATGTCAAAAAGGTGTCAGAAAGGTCCGAATTCCCCTTTACATTCATGTGCAGCACATTTCTTCCCTGTAGGCAGGAAAACTCACCATAAAATGCGTCCAACGTATAGAAGCTCAAAGTAGGGATGCAGGTATTTTGAGGCAAAACTCAGTAGCACACCGGGGATATATAGAGCACTCGCGAGTAGTGCTGTACCTTTCCTACCAATCTTCTTGCAAAGAAATGCCGCCAAGAACTGCCCGAAAATCGTCGCGATGGGAAAGCAAACGTTCAGCAGCGACAACATGACGTTCTGAGGAGATGGATTGTTGTTGTTATGAAAAGTTCATTCCAAAGTGGTAACAAATTGAGTGAGTCTTACCAGCATTTCATGGCTCATCTCCTTGTCATATCGCTCTACCCACGATTGGTTAATAAAGCTTTCAATTTGTAGATATGGCTGATTAAGAACTGAAGCGATGTAGCCTTGTTGGAATCCTGACGATAAGCACAGGGCCAACGATAGAACGTGTATCGATATTGAAGGCATTGCTTGAATGCGTAGCCTGAAAAATATTAAAATTCCTGACCAGATAGCTTTTTTCGTAAAACACGGCGAGATGCACGACTTTCACAAAGGTTCCTTTCTTGATAGCATGCGCTTCCGTAGAGTGAAGATGGAACGGCGAGGAGCTCGCCCCTGGCTGTGTGGCTACTCCCCAGATCACTCCGCCTAAAACGCGGACCTGCGTACCTGCTCCAAAACTTCAGAAGCTTCCTCCTGAATGTTTCCCAAGCTTAGTGACTGAGCTTGCAAAACATCAAAGAGGCTTCCTTGCAGTCATAGAATACACTTTGGTAGAGTTTGGTAGAGGCATATTCCGCAATGACCGCTTGGACGGAGACACTTAAACACTTATGCCATTCTCAATGGTGGACCCTTTTTTGAGATTGCAAGGAAGGGCAGCGGACCAATGAGAGGAACACAGTAAACCAAACGGCTCCGCCTACGCGGTCAACGCGGAATGTGCCTTTAGAGACTGTTGTACCTAGTTTGAGAAAACGCCAAAAGCAGGAAACCGAGCACTACTTGAGAAGGACAGCGCTATGTTGTCGGGTACATGTTTTCCTATTCGGACCTTTAACAATCCTTCCAGGCCTTTGAAGCGCTATTGGGCGAATAATGAGGCATAGTACAATTCAACCCTGTATTTGCTAAAGAGATTACACCTTTATTAAATCCAAATTCGCGTAATCCATCCGTAAATGTGTTTACGGCAACTGAGAAAAGAACATAAAGTTCAGAGCAAAGGAATCAGTACAACTCGAGACTGCTAGATATTCTAGATCTGATAGGCCGACTCTCGGCTGACTTACTGGCTACTACCCAGCGAGGAGCAAGAGAGCAAGGAGAAAGAAGACAATAATTTACTAACAAGGAGCCATTCAACGAGCCTGTAAAGAGAGATAAATTTAAGAGAAGGGTAATAGAAAGGGGGATATTCATTAGAAACTCTAAGCGTCCAAAGTAGAGGTCGTGACTATCTATACAGTAAGTAGTTGCTTGGATTTGACCAGGCCAGCACAAAGGGTACGAAAGGTATAGCGTCCATGTTACCAAAGAGACACACCTGGAGGCAGCTAGATCTTCTTGATCTGATAGGCCCACTCTTGATTGACTCGCTGTCTACTACGCAGTTGAGGCTAAGAGAAGGGGGTAAGAAGACTCAGTAACAACGAGGCATTCAGTGAGACCATGAATAAATTCAATTAGGAAAGAGGGAATAGAAAGGGAATATTCAGTGGAAGTTCTAAAGGCCCAAGTAAAGGTCGTGACTATCTATACAGTAAGTCTGTAGTGCTTAGATTTGGACCAGGCCACCACAACAGTACGAGTATAGCCCCTGTATTAATGCAAGGACGCAATAGTGTAAAAAACGAATTGTTTCGGGAGTAGTGCAGAAAACCCCACTGCAAAGTGCTATTTAGGTTCTCACTGCAATGACGTCCTCATTAGAGTGCCTTTATATAACGGTGTCCCATAATCCGATTCCCTCCCATATATGGACTTTTCATGATTACTCATAGAAAAGTGCAAACTTGTGCCAAACGGCGTCCACCAAGCGACCAGACAGGAGTTTTTTGAAGTCGTCGTTAAAATGGTTGTTGTTTGGAGACTGCACTCGAGAGCATCTACCAAATATCAAGTATCAGGTGACAGTGACTAACTGAACTTTTAGGCATTTGATGTTGTTTGGCGAGCAGCCCATGGTGAACGCACTTATAGGAGTTCTTTGCGGAAAATACTGTTGAATGTTTCATTCGCAG